CCACCCCCCCCAGGCCCCCCAGGCCCCGGCTCTTCTCTGTCATCCTCCCCGATGCACGGCCCCCCAGGAGCTGAAGCAAAGCGTCAGGAGCCTGCACAGCCGCCAATCAGTGATGCTCGAAGTGATCTCCTGGCCGCCATTCGCATGGGTGAGTGGAACACCCCAGATACACAGCCCTCCTCCCGGAGAGAGATTTCGTTCCGTCTCCATCTAGCTGCAGACTCGTCGTCTGCAAACGACTCCTCTCTACATTAAATTACTTTTTAGAATAGAGTTAAAGGAGCCCTTTTTGTATTTTTTTTAATAGTAGATGTGTTTTTGCCATCATGATAAAGAATTGAGAATTCAGGAAAGCTTTACTTGACTGGAAACCAGAGAACAGAAGTGAGTAATTAACTAATTAGATCTTTTCTCTGCATTCTATTCTAAGGGTAAAAGTGAGCGCATGCTAGTTATTTAGTGTTTTTAAAACAAATGTAGGGTATTTCCTGGACTAGTCACATTTTTAGCTAGATGTGCTGTGCTGGTGGTTTTCTAGCATTTATTTAGCAACATAACCCTTTTGTCGGAGTAAAAAGCCCTACACGGACCCCCAGCCCCTGACACACGTAGGAGCACCTCGGTCACACCGGGTGGGGAGCTGGGCCCTCGCCTGCCCTGGCTGCCCTCCAGCGTCACTTGAAAACCTGCAACCCTCACTGGGTCTTCTAACCAGGTCACATTCCAGGCTGATTGTGTGTCACACACACAATGTGGAACTAGTCCAAGAGCTTCTCCTGCAGCATGGAACTGCACAGACTGTGGGTCCCACTTTAGCTGTCTTAGTCTGGAAGTGGCTGGGAAGGGGCCTGGTTGCAGCTCCTGACCTCAGTGTCGGTGATGTCCCTCACAGGGCAGCCTGGACCTCTGCCTTCTGCCTGCTGTGAATCAGGCTTGTGGTGTGGCACACACACCCTCCTAAGACCCAGGGCCCTCTGCATACTTCAGTGTCATTGACACACTTTGATTTTGTCAAAAAAAAAGCCAAGGGGTGTAATACCTCATAGGTATCAAATTCGGGGTCATGGTAGGACAGTGTTGGATTTGCTTCTTTTTTTTTTCAACACCTGTAAGCTCTGTCCAGTATGGGTTGATATGTAACCTGGGTCTAATCATGAGGAAATGTCTGATACACACAAATCTTGGGACATCTACAGAATAACTGCCTCTGTTCTTCAAAAATGTGAAGGTCATAAGCACAGACAGAAGAACTGCTGAGATTAAAGGACATTAACAAAACATAACCACTAATTAACAGGTGACCCATGTTGGATCTTGAACTGGGGCAAAACTTCTTTCATTTGTAATTAGATTACTGGGTCTCCT